GGTGCCTGCCGTCATGAAGGCAGAACAGTGAAGAGAGCACCTTAATCCTCAGGACCAGACTCTTTTCTGTTGCATAAAAATAAGGAGCACTTCAAAATCCTGAACTTTATAATTCACTAGAAGCCTGGTGCATGAAATTCATGCACGAGGGAGGGGTCCCCTCAGTCCCGCCTGCACCCTCTACAATCCAGGACCCCTTGGAGATGTTGGGCCTAAACTGGCAGTCAGTCGGACATCCCTCTCATAGTCCTGGACCTCTGGCTCCTAACTGCTCATCTGCCTGCATGCCTGGTCGCCCCTAACTGCCCCTGGCAGCCGGCCAGGTCACTCCTAACTGCTCCCTTCTCCCCCCCTCCCCCGCCAGCTTGGTTGCCCCCAACTGCAACCCCCTGACTGGCCTGGTAGCCCCTAACACAACCTCGCCCCGCCGGCCTGGTCACCTTCCTGCCCCCCCCCACCACCAGCCTGGTTGCTCCCAACTGCACCTCTCCTGCCAGCCTGGTTGCCCCATGCAGCTTGCTGTTCAGTCGTTTGGTTGTCCCTCACTAACCCCCCTGCTGGCCTGGTGGTAGGCAGCCATCTTGTGAGGGCGTGAGTGTTAATTTGCATATTACCTCTTTATTACATAGGATACCACTATATTATATTTTACAGTGTTATACTATTTCAAATCACAATTTCAATCATCATAGAAGCCACATGACTGCCCACAGCACTGAACTGTGGGTCTGAGATAACTTCACTCCTCCCAGCAGTAACTCAGAATCAGAGTCATGGCACCTCACAGATCATCTGGCTCAAAAACTTCATTTCATATGTCAGCAGAATCAGCAAAAAGTTGATGCTGACCTTAGGGATAGAGCAATGGAAATACTCACTAGTCTTGAAGAGTGATTTTGAGTTTACTGTATTGCTTTATTTTTCTCAATATTGTGCTTCCTTTATTTACCTCTTTATCAGATTGACTATAAATTCCTAATGTAAAAAAACTGTATTCAAGATATAATTTCTCTATCCCTGCTTGGCTGCTGGTTATTATTGTTTCTTACCCTTATTAAGTTATATTAATAATGCTGACAATAAAGGCAACACAGTAATGCTCAGTAAAGTTAGTTTACATTTCACATGCACGTCAGTCAACTGAATTTTTCTTTCCAAAGGATATTTCTAAAGAACAGAAGTGATTAAACTTACAAAATACAAACCAGTAAAAAGAAACCTCAAAAAGCACACATTAAATAAATATATTTTATAAGTCAAGATTTTAGATTTACCCTAATCTTAAATTTGAGAGGGAGAAAAAAAATTATCTAACAGAACTCCTGTTTTCCTACTGTGATATAAATATACTTTCCCTTTAAGCTTACAGAATTAGAGTAAAAAGTTTTATATCTCCTAGAAAACTTGTTTGATCTGTGGATTTAATCCTGTATGATAAAAATGTTCCAAGTATGAAATATAGAGTATAAATCCTAAACTATATTTCAAATGCTTTGGCATGCAGACATTTTTTTCCATATTTTAATGAAAACCAGATTTATTTATAAGTTGCTTTAATTTCATTCTCGAATGGAATGGAACAAGAGTATCATATGTTCTGAATTAGGATCTGACTCACATCCCATATCAATTTTGTAACTCAAATGCAAGACAACTTAATTGTGTCAATCATATTCCCCTGACAAGATCATTAAATGTTAACAGAGAGCTTCCACATTTTAACAGACATAGATTTTTAAAATAGAAACTATTCTATGAAAAATATAGATGTCTCATAATAGTTTGGTATAAATATTATAGCTTCTGACTTCTAATAGTAATTTTTGGAAATGGAATATTATGAACATAAAGTTTCTTTTTAATCACATCTCTGTAAAGGTTTATGTTTCACAAAGGTACATCAAATCTCACAGACAACCCAGAAAATAAGCTCACTTAAAAGATCTTAACTGCAAGTCACTATAAGTCAAATTCTAAAATAAAAGCATATCAATATCATATTGATCTCATAGAAGAAATAGTGCTATGTAACTCTATCCAGAAATAAACTACCCTAGATAGTTAAATAAATTACCATATCATTTGTTTCTTAATTATTTTACAGCATTAAGCTTTAAAGACTAATAATTCATTGGCATGCTAACCAATATAATTAGTCATATTAATTTTTTCAAAAATTTGAAATTCAAAATAAGCAAATATATTATATTTTAAACATTAAAACTGTTAAATATTCAGTTTTAAAACATCATAACAGAGATTCTGCAAATTGGACTCAGTATTTTGAAGTATGTAATTTTACAAGTTAATGTGTGACATGTAAAAGTAACATTTTTATCAATTTTCTATTAATATAAGTGAGATGGGAATTAATTTTTATTTTTTTAAACAAGCCAGGAAAAAAAATTAAATGACAACTGATTTAAACTGAAGCTATGGTAAAAGTATCACTTTTAGAGAAAGAAGACCTGAGTTTTAATAGCAGTTCTGTCATACTACCTTAGTTATTTCTAAAATTTTCTAAAATTTTATATGTATTTTTATTCTTCCTCTTTGCACAAACACATATAACAACAAAAAACTGAATAACACCAATCAGAAAGGATATATGCACCTCTATGTTCATAGCAGCACAATTTACCATAGCTAAGATTTGGACACAGCCTAAGTGCCCATCAGCAGATGAATGGATTAAAATACTGTGGTACATCTACACAACGGAATACTACATTGCAGTAAAAAAGAAGGAATTCTTACCATTTGCAACAGCATGGATGGAACTGGAGAGCATTATGCTAAGCAAAATAAGCCAGTCAGAGAAAGATAAATATCGCATGATCTCACTCATTTATGGAATATAATGAACAACACAAACTGATGAACAAAAACAGATCCAGAGACAGAGAAGCACTGATTAGACCGTCAAACCTTAGAGGGAAGGTAAGGGAGGTTGGGGGTAAGGGAGAGAAATCAACCAAGAAACTTGTATGCATGCATATGAGTCTACACAATGGACACAGACAACAGGGGGGTGAGGGCATGAGTGGGGGGGTTGGGGGGTTATTGGGGAAATAAGGACACATATGTAAAACCTTAATCAAAAAAGAAAAAAATTAAAAATTGTGAATATGCCCAGCTGATGAGGCTCAGTGGTTGAGCTTCAACCTATGAACCAGGAGGACCCAGTTCAATTTCTAGTCAGGGTTGCAGGCTCAATCATGCAGAAGGGGGGCATGCAGAAGGCAGCCAGTCAATAATTCTCTCTCATCATTGATGTTTCTATCTCTCTTTCTCTGAAATCAATAGAAAACATTTTTTAAAATGTGAATAGAAGTGACTCAATTCAGGACCAAGGAAAAGAAAAAACCCCACACACACATGTATGACAACTATCAGGATTAACAGAGTTAATGCAAAACATTCAAATTTGACTCTGATCTTCCTGGCAAGCAGAGCAAATGAGAAAAAAATCATCTTTAATACAGTCAATATTGATGATCCCAACAAATTTTTTAAGAAGACAATATAGTACTGCCAGTATTACAGCAGATGAAGAAACCTAAGGCTTTTATGGTGAAAAGAAATAAAATTAATTTCCTGAGGTTTCTGAATATGAAATGGGTAAGACACACACCTCCTTACTCTTGGTTTGATATTCATTTTACCTCATACTGCATAGAGTTCTTAGCCCTATATTATAAAAGAAATTTATCACATAGAACTTTTTGAGTAATAAAGAGTTGTCTGCAATATTTTTACTACAAATACAAAAGTGATTTTCATATAGCTATTTCTTATAGGAATTACTTATCAAACTAAGAGCATAAAAATTAAAATTAACTATATAAAGCTGTAGATAAGAAAGGTACTGGTGAACATCAAATGTGATAATGAATGAGGAAACCTTGTGAACTAATAAAGTACTATATTAAGGAACAATATTTCTGATAATGAAACATCATTAAGAACTTTTCTCAACCACATTTTCTTAACAGTTCTTAGTTAGATCTAAATAAAGTATACCATACTTTTTATTAACCAGTGTCACCCCAATAAATTTGATGAAAAAATAAAGTATATATACTTTCCTTGTAAATATGTATTTACAGTTATCTAAGTAGAATTCTTTCATACTGGTATAAGCCACATTGTAAAAGCTAAATACATTTTGAAAACTTGTTCTTCAATCCAGACCAAGTCCAAATATTAGAGCAAAACAACCAAATACTTAAACCTAAAAGTCTGATAGGTTGTTTTTGTTATTGTTTATTAATATGTAAAATAACTTGATGACAAAACAATGTATTGTCTTTTTAAGTTTATTTTTCTCAAAATTTCTTGTTCTATGCAGTGAAAGGAAAAGTATAATTAATTTGTTTTTCCCCCATAAAAAGAGATGAGTCAACAGTCTTTAGAACACAGTGTTTTTAAAATAAGGAGAAACAGGGTATGATGTGGTTTACTACTGTTTATAACACTGTTAAAAAAAACAATCTGCAAATAATTTTTAAATCATGCTTTATAGTAGGAATCTCACAATAAGTGTAGCTGTAACTTTATCAATATGATTTATCTTTATTACGATGGTTGGTTGAAAAGTGATAGCGGTTTTATCTACTCCATTCTTTGCTGACCTTTACTATCAATACTTTTAGTCTTTCTCTACTCCCCCATCCCAATCTTGCACAGCCCAGAAATTTCTCCTTTACCTTCCCCACGATCTAGCTCAAACCTATCCGGCCCTATCACACTCTCACAGACTCTAAGGGTTAAGCCTTTTCAAAGAGCTCAAGGCACAGTGTTTCCTACATAATGGATCATCAATAAACATCTGCGGAGCATTTTCTTCTCCATGACTACTCTGCCCCTGCCTAATATGTAAGTGTCTTGTGGGCAGGGACTACATTTGTTTTACTTTCCACTAGCTTAATATTTGTTTTACTTTCCACTAGCTTAATAACTAGTAAATAAGTGGACACATGTAAAGTTCTTTTTCTTACCCACTATGGTCTCCAGACAAAAATTCTGAAATAGTTGTAGGAAGCTCTATCTTAATAATTAAAAGATAAGATGACATGGCTGCAAAAAGAATTCCTATTAGAATTCTATCGTCTTTAACCACTTAAAGAATAATTTATCCAGAAACACAGGTATCTATTAGGGCTAAACAGATAGTGCACTGTCCTCAAAGATACTAGTACACACACACACACACACACACACACACACACACACGGGGGGGGGGGGGAGAGAGAGAGAGAGAGAGAGAGAGAGAGAGAGAGAGAGAGAGAGAGAGAGAGAGAGAGAGAGAGAGAAATCTATGTACCGGGGATGCAGATAACTCTGTAGAGCCCTAGATAAATAACTCTGTAGAGCCCTAGATAAATAACTCTGTAGAGCCCTAGATGGTTTGGCTCAGTGGATAGAGCGTCGGCCTGCGGACTGAGGGTCCTGGGTTCAATTCCAGTCAAGGCACATGCCCGGGTTGCAGGCTCAATCCCCAGTAGGGGGCATGTAAGAGGCAGCCAATCAACGATTATCTTTTATCACTGATGTTTCTCTCTCTCCCTACCTTCCTTTCTGAAATCAATAAAAATATATTTTTTTAAAATAACTCTGTAGAGAAGAATAATTGTAAGTTCATTAAGTATCCTTTGCTTACATTTCAAGTTCAAGGCAAATCATTAAGTTAAATGCTTAAGTACACAGAAACCCAGGTGATCTGGAGTCAGAATTTCAGTTTCACAGAGTAATATAATAATCTCTCTTTCCCCCATAGGGAAGTATATATTGAGAAAGAACCCTGACCAGTGTGGCTCAATGGTTCTATTCCAAGTCAAGGGCACATACCTGGATGGCAGGTTCACAGCCCTGGCTGGGTGTGCAGGAGGCAACCAATCCATGAGTCTCCCTCACATTGATGTTTTTCTCTCTTTCTCTTCTTCCCTCCCCCTTCCACTTGCTCATAAAAAATTTTTTTTTAAATATAGGAAAAAATATCTTTAGGTGAGGATTAACGAGAAAAAAAGAAAAAGAAGAAAGAGCCAACAAGAATATGTCCACGAAGAATAAAGAGTGTACATTAAGTTTAATATATTTCAGAAAACACTTCACTTTCTCCCTAAACCTACAAAAACTAAGAACACAAATGAATGCCAAGCCTTAATGGCAAAAATCTGGGGGGAAATTGATTAAAAGGTTCAAAAAGTCCAAGAATTAGTATGCATATTTCTCAATCAACATATTTAAAAGTAGCTGAACTCTTAAACAATTATTATAATGCTGTGTGATCACTTAACCCTGGAGAGAAAAAAGACTCTATATTACTTTGTGTATAAATTTATATGAAATAGGCAATAATTACACACACAAACATACATTCAATTTTTTAGGTAAAAAACATGTACCTGTAGCAAAGTAAAATTTGGAACAGTTAAGTAAGTAAACCACTTCCTTGTCAGGAAGATGAACATATACACATTTTCCAGTTTATGACTATTTGTTTTCCCGACAGAAGGACAGCTATTGAAGTACAGCTTTTTCCAGGCAGCAGTACAGTACATTTCTTCAAACTCTCCTTTACTTGTGGGATTGTAGGAGAAAAGGTATTCTATATTGCTTACACTTTCATAAGGAAACACTTGCTATTAATTTGGTACAGAAGGAAGATTTAATTTCTTCCACTCAAGGATTTGAAGTCTCTGTTTATAATACTTTATCTATTTCAAAGAATCACACACATATGGTGTGATAATAAAAATCATAAAAGAAATTTTCTGAAATTGGCCTAGAGCTACTTAAATATATCTTGCCAGGGAAAAAAAAGACAAAAATACCTTGAAAACAAGGAATGCAGACTTCCTACACAATGTAATTTATTATCTGCCCATCAGTCTTTCTTGCTTGGATTAATCCAACACTCCACAGATTTCTAAAGTTTCAGACATTCATCTCTTTCAGTAATTTTCTATTATTTATTTTAGATCTTTAGCTGTAAAAAGCTTCAATGAATATGAGATCATATTTCTTTCAAATATACAATCTGTCATTCTTCCCAGAATTTCTATTAGCCTCTGGCTAATCATTTGATCACTTTTATCCTCTGGTTTTCAAATGGGTGTCCTATTTCATTAGATTCCAGTCTGAAGAATCATGTAGATTTTAAGAAATATAAACATTTCTCTCTCAAAAAAGATTTCAGCATACAAGATATAAATATATGATAAGACAGAAAAATACACTTTTTAGAGATTGCTGATGCTTGTATTAAGAGCTACAGAACCACAGAACTCATGACTAAGCAAGTAAAACAAAGAAAGACACTATACTTTCCACTAACTTATTTTTTTCTTAACTGCAAGTAAAGTTTCATGCAAGGACTATCACCTTAACATATTATATATAATACAGAAAGGAAACAAGACTATACATTAAGTTAGGAAATACATCTTCATTAGATTCACATGAAAAGAACAATCAGCTCAGTAAAATAAACTGGAAAAGTTTTACTAGTAAAGATATGATATCAATAAGAAAGTTCACATATTCATTGATTTTTAACCAAATGGTTCACTAGATCAAAAAGCTGCCTGTCACACCTTTTGTCCCGTGTCTTCTATTAATGGCATAAGGAAGTGTTTAAGGACATCTTAGAGACAGGTCATAAGCAAGAATTTGTAAATGATATTTGCTGACATTGATACATAGCATACATTCCTAATACAAGACACACCAATATTGTAATCTAAATTAATAGCTGTAACAGGGCCATCCATAAGTGCCATGGCAAACAAGTGGTTCTGGCCTACACACTACCAAAGCCAGAATTAGTGCTAGAAGACATACCTTGATGACAGGTATTCAACCATTATAAATCATTTTGTTTCACCACATTGACTAAATAGGTATTCTTTTCTCATTCATTTTAAACATAACTAATAGAATTCATTTCATGGAAACTGTCCTGGGAAGAAAATTCAAAAAACCTGTGAGCCTAATCAAAACACAGAAGTTGAAAGTATTCTTTAAAAACCATGTGGGAAACGCAACTCACATTAAGAAATGACTAAAACAGGATAAAATTTGATTAGGCAATAGCAAGCGGAAAGGTATTAATATTGGTTGTCTAATCATAAAGAGAAACACATGAGTTGGCAGCATGGGGGTTGGAGGGAGCGAGGGCAGAAACAGAGGGAAGGGGAAGGGGAGAAGTATGAGAACAGCAAACATTTTGGTTTGGGGTGCCTAGTATATGCTTGACAGTACTCTAAGAGATCTGTAAGTTATTTCCTCGCTTCACCTTCACCACAGACATGTAAGGCAGATGTGATTTATTTCACAGATGAAGAAATGGAGGCACAAAGGAGTAACTTGCCCAAGCTAGCGATGGCTGGAGCAGCCAGGCTGGCTTGAGAAACTTGCACTTAACTACTCCGCTATGGGAAGGTGAAGAAATTCAACACACAAAGAAAAAGCAAGTCTATCAAGAGAACCACTCCCCAGGGTTGTTCTTTTTTTACCATCAGCATTTAAACAATAAATTGTGTCTGAATGTTGTGTTTAACATTTGGGTTCAAAGAATTTAAAGAATTTAAACAACCCAGAAAATTAGTTAGAAGCTTTACTAGTAAGAGCACTTACAATGTTCATTTCTCATTGAAATGTATTTTCAGCATAATTCATTTCATTTTTGTGAGCTGGTTTAGTGCAGTACTTAATTAGTACAGGATTCTTCAGACAAACTGAGGAGTTTCATGGTAGGACTCTACCTACTAGGACACTATGGTTAGGACCCTGCCACTATGATTCTACTGTGTCAACAACTAGTGTTGTAGTTCAGAAAAGGAAGTTTCCTATTTTCACATGGCTGAGATATTAACACTATTAACACTATATTCAAATAAAAAAATTAAAATGAAAACCAACCCTTCCTCCCACAAACTTTGTACTCTTTTGGACTATTTTTCCCAGGACTTCTTTAAATACACACACACACACACACACACACACACACACACACACACATGCATGCACACATACACACACACACACACACACACACACACACACACACACACACGGCCTCAATTGGAGCTGGGTCTAAGAAATCATTAGTTTACAAAAATAATTACCTTTTTGATAAACACATGAAATACGCATACGAAGATAAAATTACACACAGCTATTTTTAAAACAGAATTAGGTTTTCAGCACTTGGAGGAAGTTCAGCAACTTCTTAAAGGATTAGTCAGCCAGCCCTAAACAGATGTACTATGGGAGAAAATAATAATTTTGCTTATGTCTAAAAGAGGTTCAGTTTTACTTCAAACATGTTTTTAGTCACAGATTGCAACTAGTCTATTATATTCAACGCTAGTGGCCATGTGCATGAAATTCATGCACATTAAAAGGTAATTAATTGGAGGAAATATTTTAATATTGCTATTTGCCCTTTCTCTATAATAGAAGTGTCAGAAACGGAAGAAAATTAGTAAAATGTATGTGAAAATCTCCCTCCTGTCAGAGTCTGGGGTTCACTGTAAGACCCAGAGTCAAGTCCCCACCCATCCACATGTGATCCTCAAAAATCGCCTGAGACCCAGACCTGGCTGGCCCCAACCCCCATCAAGCCCTGCAGGGCATGGGGTGCAGCCTCAGGTTCCCTGGCCTGGTACTGGATGAGAGGCACAGCAGCCTCAGGTGCCCTGTCAAACCCTGACTGGTTGGGGGGCGGGGGGAGGGCCACAGCCTCAGGTCCCCTGGCCTGGCCTCAGTTCCCCAGGCCTTGGCAGCGGGGTCAGGGGTGGGGGTGGGGGGTGGAAGGGTAGGTGGAAGAATGCACAGCCTCAGGTCCCCGGTCCAAGCATCAGGGCATAAGGCCATGCCGACCATTTGCTTATCAGCTCTTTATAATATAGGATGTCTCTCTTATTAACCTGGAGTTTTGTATTAAATGTTCAAGCACTACTGAAAATCTATCCCTACTCAAAAGAGTATACAAACACAACCTTTCCCTTTTTTTAAAAAGGACTTTTAAAAAATGCTGATGATGTATCTTTCCTCAATTGTTTTTTTTTTAA